AGGAAGGTCAGGCTCAAGCTTCAGACAACGGTGAGAAAATAATGATTTCTAGGCATCCACATCTGGAGCTGTACGGCAAGGCATTTTGTGTTCTATGGGTTGTCTCCTTGCAGTGCACACCTCCTAAGGAGAAGGTGAGGTCAGGGCCTGGCCACGATGACATCATAATCCCTGGGAGCTCAAAACTGAGGAATCAAATATGAATCAGATTGAACCAGTGTGAAATAAAGTTAAGATAAGACTTGCAAACCAGAACACGTGCAACTCATCTGCCACAGGCTGGGGACACACTTCACAGGGTTATTGGAAGAATTAAATGAATTAATGTAACAAAGTGTTCAGTAGAGTATCTGGCACAGAGGCAGTGATCAATAAATATCACTTGGTTTTAATATTATCTATGAAATGAATACTGTATTGGGAGAATGACTAATTCTTCCTGGTGAAGGGATTGTCAAGAAATTGTAGTAAGAGTGGCATTCAGCGTTTATATACATTATCTGCTTTCATCCTTGACAACCTGTGATACAGTTATTATCTCCATTTTAAAGATCTGGAAGCCAAGCTTTGGTAACGTTACACATCTAACCCAAGGTCACACAGCTAAGTGGCAAAGAGCTAGGGTTTTAGAATCAGGTAGTTCTATCTTTGCGTCCCAGCTCAGGCACTTGCTGTGTGACCTGAAGCACGCCATTTAACTTCTCTGTGCCTCAGTTTCCCTAGTTTGTTCAGAAGGGTAATCAAGCACCTGTATTAAAGAGAGGTTTTAAGTGCTGAGTAATATAATATAAAGCACTTAGAACAATGTCTAGCACTCAATAAACACCACACACACGCGCACACACACACACACACAGACAGACATTTTGGAGGAGGAGATTTTGAAGGATGAGTAGGGGTTTGGCAGATAAAGGGGAGAAGAAAGTATCTCAGGTGAAGATAATTATGGGCCTAAAGATAAGCATTAATATGTGAAACTAAGGCACAAGAGTAGTAAGCAAACAGCAGGAGAAAGCGAGCCAATGAAAGGAAGCAGTCACTTGTAGTTGGGAGAGAAAACAAAGGGGTCATAAGGCGTGGGAGGAGAAACCAGTTTGTGGAACTGGCTGGCGGCCTGCTCCCTGCCAGGGTCTCAGCCAAAGATCACGTTCAGAACACTGTAGCAGGGCTAATTCCAGACCCCGCCCCCCAACAATTTCAACCAATAAGGAAGCTCGCTACAGCGGCTCGTTGCCAGGCAACTGTTGGCCCCAGCCTCGCAGTTACTGGTTTCTCCTCCTTGAAGGGGCCAGCTGAGAGCCATGCTGGGACTGCCTTAGTCTGGGTGTTCTGGGGGTTGTTGGAGGATGAAGATCTGGGGGCCTCCTCCATGGGGCCCCCTTCCAATTTGTCAGCAGAGTTTTATTTTTTCAGTTCATATTTTACTTTTGTTTATAAAAGAAAACTGATATTCCCCTCCAAAGAGGGGAGGGGGGAAGCTCATAAAAGTTACTAACTTTCTAAAAAGTGAAGAACTACAGGCCTCCTTGTGTCCACTTTGCTGGGACTTCCTTTTCCTGTTTGTGGAAGATCCAGCCAGACGACCTGCTTTCCCATTACTCCTTGGACAGAAATTCCTTTGGGGTCTGAGTAATTGGGACCTGGGAGACAGGCACAAAGTGCTGGAGCGGCTTACACCGGTGGGCAGACTTAGAAGACTGTATAAACCCTTCCCTCGGGCCCAGACCAAAAGATTTCCAAGATGATCAAGGTACCAGCCACCAAGATGTTGCCAAGCTCCTCCAACGCAGGGGCCCTGCGGCCCTATAATGCCTCAGACCACTCAACACAGGTAAGTCTTTTCTCTCTGCCCAAACCAATCATGTTTTCAAGAACCAGTGAGAGAGGAATTAGCATCCAGACTAACAAGGGAGAGGGGAAGAGAGAAGTGGGGCTGTAATTAAATTGTCAAGATGCATCCCTGTTGCTATCAACGGTTGGTTTCTTGTGTAGAATGGAAACGCCAGGCAGAACAGTGAGCCAGGCCATCCTATTAACCAGTAATTCCAAAATGATGGGATAAATCGGCAGTGACACTATAGAATCAAGAAAAAATTAAGATGAATTGTAGGTTTGCCATTACAGAAATTATTTTCGGAGATCTGTGCTCCGGGATGCGCACATTCTCTTGTTCTGCAGAGGCTGTAGAGGGTCGATGTTTGCGGTGTGAAGCCTGGCTTGCCACTCACCAGCTATGTGACACTGAACGGGTTGCTTAGTATCCCTGAACTTACTTCAGTCTGTGAGGCACTGGTGGTTCAGGCAGAATTCTCACCTTCCATGCAGAAGACCCAGGTTCAATCCCCAGTCAGTGCACTTCATGTGCAGTCACCACCTGTCTGTCAGTGGAGGCTTGAGTGTTGCTCTGATGCTCAACAAATTCTAGCGGGGCTTCCAGACTAAGACAGACTAGAAAGAAAGGTGTAGCAAACTTCTTCTGAGAATCAGTCAGTGAAAACCTCACGGTTCACAGCAGTCTGATTATGTCGGGCACGGGGCAGCCACAGGTTGAGGGCTGACTCTAAGGTAGCTAACCACCACCACAATGAAGTAAGAAGAGTAACGTGAACTGGGCAGCAATCGTACGAGGACTAAATGACACTGCGATATGGGAATGATTTACTCTGTTGTCTGAGACATATCAAAACTGAATAGTCTGCATATGAGACTCTGGTTGATTTGAAAGACAGAGATTAGTATGTGTTTGAAATTCACACTGATTAGTATGTATTTAATGATTGGAGTAAGCCACAGGTATACCCATGTCTTTGTGATTGTACAGTCGAACCCTGACGTCACCACACACTAGTAGGGGGTCAGTGGGAGAAAGGATCAAAGGCAATGTGGGCCCGCTCTCGTCAACCCACTCTGATGTGCCCAGTGCTCACAGCCAGGTCCCAGGCAGGCGGGCTTGGGGGAAATCAGCCTAGAGGGAAAGTTTAAGGCTTGAAGGCGCTTTAAGTGGTCCGAAGTGCTGCCCTGCCTGTCTTTCCTGACAATTAGCGCATCGTTATGCACCCTCACTCCTGGACCCTTTGGGTGAGATCACTTTGCAAGCTGTGACCTTCATGCATCTCTTTCATCTAAACCTGCTACACCAAAGTGAGCTTGATCCGAGAAGCCCCCTCTGGGAATGAACTTCGCGCAGAGCAGAGATGCGCAAAGAGAATGAGGGGAAGGATGAGGAGTAAGGTGGGCATTTCAGGCGCAGACGTCCGTCCGTGTGAGAGCATGGGCAGCGGACTCAGACAGC